GCCGAGGTCCCCTCCCCAGGGTTGGCAGGAGAAGCTTGGGGTCCACACACTTCCCTCTGTGGCTTCTCTAGCATGTCACTCCTCAGTGTGACCCAGGCTGCTGGTCACTGAGGCAGGCCCTCCGGTCTACACTCTGGGTGTTGGCCGGCAGCAGCTGCCCAAATCCACGGCCTGATTCAGCCTCCTCGCTGACACCCTGGACCTTGGAGACTTTCTCCTCTCGGCCCTGGGGCTCGTTCCTTCCGGGGGTCCTCAGTTCCCTCAGGCTTCTCCTCTTCCCGCAAACTATGAATGGGGACCAGGGGCCAACCCTTGCCCGGACTCCTGCCTTCCCAGGCTGTGCTCAGTGGACAGAAGAGAGATCTCCCCCATCCAGTACTTTCCTCCAAAGCTGTCGAGAAGTTTCAGGTGTGGGTGAATTAACTCCAGTCTTACCCAGAATCTCGACTTCTGAACCCCTGCCCTACCCTCTCTCCTACGAGCTCCCCTTCCGGCTCCAGAAGGACTCCCCTGGAGCCCCCCAGTGGGAAAAATCTCATGTCCCAGGCTGCCCCTACTCTATGTCCTCAGCAAACCCTGCTCACGACTCTCGACTCTCGATTGGCTCTTGGTTTGCAAGGGAATCGAATTTTGAAACATGGAAGGAAATAAAAAACAAATAACATTTTTCTTTCTCCCTTCAGCCAGGTTTATAAGAATACATTCTTGCCACATATTTAAAATATCTCATTTGTCATGCAGACCCAAGCACGTACCCCTTTTCTAGGGAGTCTTTAGCCTCCCTCTCAAGCTCTGAATGCCACTGATTCAATGGAAGGAAAGCCTACATCACCTACGTGAAAGGAAAAATGCATCTATTTAATATCACGCAGAGATTATGCCTGCAGAATTCTTCAGGAAGATCACTCAGGATGCAGTGCGAGAAATGAATTAAACATGGGCAAGATAGGAGACAGGCCATTTAGGATGTTATTGCAAAAACCTAGGCTAAGAATGACAATGGATTTAACCCAGGCAGTAGTCACGGAATGGAGGAGACACATTAAATAAGTATTAAGACATTAACATTAAGATCGACATAACAAGGCTTCATCTGTGACTGTTTGTTCCAGGAGGAGGTAGTTTTTATATGGAAAGAGGGAAGGGGAGAGAGCAGGAGCATGGCTGGTGCACTACAAGGGCAGTAGACCAAATGGAAGGAATCAAAGATTCCATCAGGCTAAGCCGATTAACATGGGGAATTAGGGCTTAATGTGTCAGCTAGGTGTCCCAGGCTGGATTTTCTAGAAGCAGATGCTGATGGGGCTTGGGGCGCAAGACGTTCAATCGAGATCTTCATTGGCTGAACTGTGTCGTCCCTTCCCCCTCAAATCCAATTCCTATGTTGAAGCCTTAACTCCTGGTACCACAGACTTGACCTGTATTTGGAGTTAGGGTCTCAAAAGAGGTGATTAAGTTACAGTGAAGTTATTAGGGTGCCACCTAATCCAATATGACTGGTGTCCCTATAAGAAAAGGAGATTAGGACACAGACACACACGGAGGGGAGACAACATGAAGACACAGGAAGACCACCATCTATAGCCAAGGAGAGAGGCCTCCTGAGAAACCATCCCCACTGACACCTTGATCTTGGACTTCCACCCTCGAGGACTGTCAGAAAACTTATTTCTGTCACTTAAGCCATTCAGTCTGTGGTATTTTGTTATGACAGCCCAAGCTGACTAATAGAGGTCAATACCTGTGAAGGGGAGGAAAAAGTATCAGGCAGAGGAGAAGCCCAACCACCATGCAAACCCCCCAAAGTCTTAGCTAAGCTGGCAGGGAGCTTTGGGGCAGGAACAATTCACCAAAATCACAGAATACCCGTACTTTCGTGCTCCACCTCATTCAGTCGCCAGATGAGGGCTCTCATCTGTATGGCTGTGACCTCAGGCTAGGTGGCTTTCTGCAGCTGAGGTGGACTATCAAGGAGCTGATTGATGAGCAAAGGCTGTCTGCACCCCATGCTCCTCACACTGGGCACAGATGGTGCCATATAGGAAGAGCCATTCTCCATGTCTATCACAGTCCACCCCTTGCCCTGCCCAGAAAACATGCTCTCCATGTATATTCAGGGAGGAGTGTCTTGCCAGATTCTACTGGGCCTCTGTCTCTGTGAGAAAAAGTACTCTCAGAGCCACACTAATACTTCCCACCATCATCCCTTTCCTCCACGGACTCAGTAACGCCTACAGTTAGTAAGGGTAAAGTGTCAGAATGCCCAGATGGCCCATAGTAAAAGAAGTTCATAGGCTCAGGGAAGTGACTAAGTTTGAAAGCATGGATTCCGTGCAACCCACACATCCATCTTTTTAGCACACTCCCTGGGAGGGTCTAAGGGACACTCTCCTCACCACAGTGTAAAGAAATGGGCCGTCAGCACCCCTGGATGACTCTGTGGTGGTGTCCTCTATAGGCTAAAGGTCAGGGTGGGAGATACTGCAATAGAATAGGTTTCCCGATCTTAATGGGAATAATTGGGAGCTGGATAGTTAGAGACAGATGACACTGCAGTCACACTCAGGGATGGTCCTAAAAATCACCGGTGAAGGGAATCGCCCCAGAGTGGGCAAAACTTGCTGTTGTCCATCGGTGCGGAAGAAGAGATCTGGATCTACACTGACTCGTGAGCTGTGACTCACAGAGGAGTTGCCGATGGGGGTTTGGAAAGAGGAAAATTGAAGAACCGGTGGAAGGAGCTCTTAGAAGAATGTGGTAACCTCTTGGAATGTGGCCAACCTCCATGGAATGTGGAGCGATTTAAGTTCTCTGCAAATCCGCACAAAAGTCATTCACCCAAAGTAAGGCTCTCCATGATCAGGTGTACAAGATGACATGCTCTGTAGGTGCCAGCCCTTTCCCCACCACCCCGTACAATGACCGTGTGGCCGGGTGGCAGGAATGGGGATTATGTAGCATTCAGCCAGAGGGTCTTCTCCTCACCGACAAGGATCTGGCTACTTCCAACAGCAGAGGCCAACATGGAGCCCCTGATATGCCACTTGTTCTCCAGAGCAGCTACCTTTGAAGAGATTCATTACACTGGCTTCTTTCACAATGGAGGAGGCAGTGATCTGTCTTCAAAATGATAACCTACACTCTGAGTATGGATTTGCTTTCTGTCTTCAGTGCTCTGCCAGATCCCCAAACGTGGACTTGAAGAATTCCTCATTTGTAGTCATAATAACCCTTACAACTTTCACTCCACCCAGGGCACATTTTCCGATGATGGCGGTTCATGAAGTGGGCTAGTCTTACCCCATGGCCCACCACCACCCAGAAGCGGCATCAATAGAACAGTGGAATAGCCTCTTGAAGGCTCAGTTATGGTAACAGATGAGAGGAATACCCTGAAAATTATTGGAAGCTGTCCTATAGGATTTAGCACGTGCTTCTGACCTATGGCTAATGTTTGGTGGCTTCTCCCATTATCCAGATCCATGTGTCTAGGAATCAAAGGTTGGAGAGGGCAGTGTCCCTGAGTCTCTTATACCTAATCCCCCCAAAACCCATTCGGAGACTTTTCCATCTTATCCTGTGATCTTGAAACTGGTGAGGCTGGAAGTCCTAGAACCCAACAGAGGACCATGTCACCAAGGAACACACTCATAGCACTGTTAAATTAGAATCCGAGACTGCCCCCTGGCCACTTGAATCTCCTCATGCTGTTGAGTCAAAAGCCTACAAGAGGTCACTGGGCTGAGCAGAGTGATGGATCTCAATTACCAGGGAAAAATTGGATCATCGTTACACAGCGGGTCAGGGAGGTTTAGGGGGTTCGCCCAAGAGATTCCTGGGGATATAGCCTCTTGGTACTTCTCCCCAGCTGTCCTCATCCAAGGAAAGCTGCAGTGAAGTCAAGGACTCCAGTCATTCAGGTATGAGGGTTTGGGTTACTATCACTTATCAGAGACCCTCCTCATCCAGCTGAGACACTGGTGGAGAGGAAGAGGGACATAGTGTGGGAAGACGGGCAAGTCGCGTAATAATGCCACTTACGCCTCATCATCACAGCCACGGAAAAAGAATATGCAGCAGATCTGTTTCTGTTCATTGTTTTCCTTCTCCCTCTTCCCCACCACCTACGTTTCAGTATAGGAAGAGCACTGTTAGGACAAAAATGTTAGGTTTCCCATGGGTATATGGCTGAATTGACTTCACCTATGGTGATATCACAACTGATAAAATTGTGTGTGTCCCCTCTGTGGAAACCATGATTTTTCTTTTACACAAATGACAGACAAGAGGGGATGGACTGTCTAGGATATTTTCCTTTGGCCCTCTAGACCCACTTTGCAACTCTCTCCACCCTGCTCCGCGTTGGGGAGGCGTCAACCAGGCCCTGTGCTCTGGCTTCTAGGTGGGATCGGCCAATGGGAGGCAGCCGCAGGGGCTGGCCGGTGGGCTGCAACTCTCCCCTCCCTCCCCCACTGAGAGGTCCCTCCCCTGACGACTCCTGTCTGGCAGTCTTCTCCACAAAGCTGCTCCTCTCAGGCTCTGGAACGTCCTTCTCCTTCGCCTCTTCCAGCCCCGTGGTGATGGCTTCCCTCCATTGCTAGTCTCAGGCCAGTGTGCTGGCCTTTGTTTCTTTCTCTAACCTTGGCCACAACGTGGTAACTATCCGCTTCTGTAAACTCTCCTCAATGACCCAGTATGAGGGTCTCTTCTATTTTCTGCTAGATCCCAGCTTTTTCCAAGTAAAAAAGCCACTGGAACTATGTTTAACTTATGAAATGTAACTTACATGAAGAAAAAGATGCATAGCATTTATCTAACATTGAACATGGAGTTATAAATTGAATACCCATTTGTCTGGGTTCCCCCAACCCAAATCAAGAACTCGGGAGGAGGCCATTCCCCCCAGAAGCCCACCTGACCTTGTATACTTCTTGCCCATGACAGTCCCCTCCCTCCATTGACAGATTAGTTTTTGCTGTAACAAGGTACCATGACTTTGGTGGCTTAAAACAACACCAATTTATTATTGTATAGTTCTGACCATCAAAGGTCTAAAAATGCATCTCACAGGCTAAAATCAAGCTGTTGACAGGGCTGCATCCCTTCTGGAGGCTCTAGGAGACAATGGATTTCCAGCTCCTAGACGCTGCTTGCAGCCCTGAGCCCGTGGCTCTACATCACTCCAACCTCTGCTTCTGTCCTCACATCCCCTTCCCTGATTCTGACCCCCGGATTAAAAGGACTCTTGTGGTGACATGGTGTCCACCTGGATAACCCAGGGCGATCGCTCCGTCCCCAGACCTTTAACTTACCCACGTCTGTAAATATAACATATTCACAAATTCAAGGGATTAGGATATGAATATCTCTGGGGACTGTTATTCTGTCTGCCACACCCACTGTCTGGACTTTTGGGGTACTCATTTCTTCAAATAAAGTTATTTTTTAAATTACTTGATTGGGGCTATTCATCACTATCTAGTGACTTTTTTAGTCAGGCCATGCCATGGCCACTGGCCAGCCTGTGGTGAGCTTTTCTCACGGCGCTGAGAGGTATATTATTATCTGCATTATTATTCCCGTTTTACAGACAAGGGAAATGAGGCGCAAAGATCTGAAGCTTCTAATTGCTCAGTTAATGAATGTCAGAGCTGTAAGCCAACACCCTAGTCTGTGTGAAACCAAACCCCACCTGCTCTCTACTCCTTCATGGGCTCCCTGGGAAGAGAAGGTAATTCCTTTTATCTGCAGATAAAAGGAGATTAAGGTGGGACACGCCCGTGCAAAAGCAATCTCATTTTGTCAACACGGCAGCCCCAAGAGTGGACAAAAATGTTTCGTGCTATAAGCCATACGTAGATACCCCATGAAGGATCGGTAGCTCTGATGTACATTTCCCTGAAATTTCCATTTGCTCATTTTATTGTGTGTCATCGGGTTCTGCAGAAGGAAAAAAAAAAAAAACAAAAAAACAAAAAACAAAAAACAAAAGGAAAAAGAAATCTACCCACCAAGTCACCTTAGCAGATGCACGGCTTGTTTCATGTGAGCGGAACGGTTAGTTGGGTTAATGGCTCTAGTAACAAAACGCATGCCAGGGTCATTATTTATAATGGGCAGTGACGAAAAGCAGTAGCGAAGCTGGCACGTAGCGACAGGCAGTGTAAAATTTTAATTGCGAGGCACTTTCTGGAATTTGATTTGAAACGTCCTGTGGTTATAAAGCGAAAACAGCTTTCAGGGAAGACGGGCATTGAGACCAGGCTAAGGTTTGAGAACCGTTTGCATGTTTGCTTGGAACATCTGAGAAAGGGCTGCCAGCCAAGTCTCTTCTCCCTGACACTTACAGTACGTTACCAGCAACCTAGAAATCATCTGGGAACTAAGTGCTTAGCCCACTTAAAACCTGAGCAGAAAAACAGAGTTAGAATCCCTGTTCTAAACTCAGTTCAAAAATCCTTGTCCCACACGTGCCACATTCTGTGCTGGGACCCGTGGGTCCGGCTTCATCGTGGCCGCCCATCAGGACGGGGAGGCAGTAGACCGGTCGTCCTGGACAAGCGAGACTTCCAGAAAGTGGAGAAGAGCTGGGCGACAAAGCAAAAAACAGTGAAAAGGTTAGGGCAAGGAAGCCATATAAAAGTCGTTTACGGAAGGCACCGCTTTTCAAGTTGTAGATTTTGACCCATTTAATGGGCTAGGGGATCGACTTAGTGGATTTTGAAAAATGAAAGAGGACAGAATTGAAAATACCAGAGTGTGTTGCCCAATGAAGATGTTTATATGCTTTGATGGGGGGGGAGGATTCTTGTGTGTATCAGGTCACAACGGGAAATGTATTTCTTAGCGTGGGTCATAGTCCAAAAAAGATGGTAAAGCCCTGATTTAAAGGAAGCGGCTGTGAATTGGTTATAAAACTATAGAGCCTATTAATCAAATCCATTATACACATCTGCTTTTCTTGAATAAGAAATCACCTGATGATGTGAGCAGGTCCGGGAGCCCTTTCTCTGCTTTGCGTCACAGTGTCCCGGGACACGATAACCTTAACAACGGCTACCATCTATGGGATAGTCACCATGTTCTAAATGCCTCATGTGTATTCACTCTTCACAACTGTTTGACTCTACGGGGGGAGGGACACCGGGCACAGAGACCACCACTTTCCCACGTAGACGGGAAGGGCAGAGTACAGCCCAGAATTCAGTGAGACCCCAACCTTCTGGTCCAGCTTATATCCCGCTGATCTCTGCTGAGACCGTAAACCCTTTGCAGGCAAAACCTCCTAAGTCACCTGGCGTATTTTTGTTTGCTCTTGGATATGCACCGGCATCATCTGGAAGCTCTGGGTAGGCCTACCCCAAGAGGGAGCACCGGAGGGCAAGCCTTCCAACAGAGCCGGAAGGAAACTGCATGCCTCTGATGATCTGCCCCCAGAAGATCACCTATATGGACTCCTCCGCCTTGCCCTGTTGGTGAAGCTGAACCAAGCCCATCCAGACTGGGTGGGAGGGGACACAGACCGCACCTCTTGAGGGTTTAAAACCACCCCCACGTGACGTTCTCAATCGTCTTAGTTTCCAACTAGTGTATGAAGAAGGCTTCCTTCTCGACCAAGTGGATTTTCTGGGACGTGGCGGAGCGAGTGGCTCAAATTCCCTGTGATGCACGGGGCCCTTTGTGGTTAATAATCTGCCTCTCATTATAATGATCTGTAGTCTCTATCATAACAAATGGGCTGGAACCACAGATATATTTACTGCCTTAATTTAGTTGTGAGCATTAGGCTTCTTTTGAAGCATTCTCTCTCCATTTGGACTGAATGCCTTTTATCTAGGCTTATCTTCAATGTCAATAAGTTTAGCATTCATCAACAGCTGGAAGCCCCGATATTATCCATCTCTCCTTCTATTAATCTTCTGTAAGTTCATCTTTATTGCCGTGAATCCATTCATCACCCCAAGCCGTCCTTCGCATTTGTCTGGTGCTCCATTTAGCTAAGCCAAACTCTATTTCTTTAGCAGGACTGAAGTTCTTTGTCATTTTAATAGTTTATTGAGCTTTTTCTTAGAGCTGGCACAGAGTGTCGGATTGTCCACAAAGAGCAAACGGATGGCAATAATATTCTTTGTTGGGTTCTGTGTTAACCCGAGGGCTCTCGGGTAAATTTATTCCCGAGAAGACCCACAAGGTCTGAGTCTCCCTAAAATATTCTACGTTCTGTAAGAAGACCTCCACGGGAACACGTCTCCCCGGAGCACAACTAGACGCTACCTTTCATCTGTTCGTATCATTCTATGTAAACTTCAGTCCAGATTCTCCTCACCTACCTTCTCCCTAATTGATGCGGGCCAAGTACGGGTGGCTCAGTTCGTGAAGCCTCTAACTCTTGATTTCAGCTCAGTTCATGATCTCACGGTTTGTGAGATCAAGCCCCGTGTGGGGCTCTGCGCTGACGGTGCGGAACCTGCTCGGGAATCTCTCTCTCCCTCTCTCTGCCCCTCCCCAGCTTGGGCTCTCTCACTCCCTCTCAAAATAAGTAAATGAAATTAACAAAGAAAAAGAAAAAGAAAAAGAGAAATCAATACGATCCATATTACGAGCTAGGAAAGGAAGAGATTTGTAAGTGAGGGAAGGGAAGGGGTGCAGAGATGGGGGAAGATACAGAGAGAAGCAAAAGGTTGGTTCTCTCCAGAAAACGGTCACCGAAATCCAGAGCCACACCAGGGAAGCAGACAATGCTCTCCAGGTCAGGACCGAGATTCTAGAGCAAGCAGGAGATGAAGATTAGGAATCAGAGTGTCATAATCAGGGTGACTGGGATGCCCCAGCCCAGGGACACGCCCCTTCATCCTCAGACCCAGCCCTGCCCTGGGGCAGGGCTGGCAGGTGAGCAGATTTGAGCTACTTGGCTAGTTGCTGGGCTGGCCACGGGACATGGAAATCCTGGCCTGGGTGGAACCCTCTTGGGAGAACGATAATCTGCATACATTACAGGAAGCATTCTTTGCTCCGATGCTGGGTTGGGCAAGGAACAGGGTATTATGGGCAATGCCGGGGCAGTTGATGACAATCTCCGCTCTCAACACATCTGCCGTCGAGGCAGACCCACGCAACAGGCATAGCAACTGACCGCGCGCGAATCACTAACGCAGGACAGGCCCAAGAGCTCAGATGGGGGAGATTTTCTGCTGCCTGAGGTCATCAGACTTCACAGAGGAAGTAAGGCTTGGAGAAGCAGGAGAGGGCACGTCAGGGTCCACTGACCAAGACCGGTCCGACCGGGGTGGGCGGAGAGAGACGACACGCGCCCCTTTGGCACCTCAGAGATCATTTCCTGGACCCAGGTCCCTAGGGAAACCCGCAGTGTGCAGGAACTCCGCCGAGGCCTGCCAGTAATCGAGAGAAGAGCCACTTTGTCACAGGTGCTTCTGCTGCCCCGGAAAGCAGCCGTGGGCCCTTTCTGTCGGCTTCAGTTGTGGCTGTGAATCTTACGTGGCAAAGTTTATTTATTTTGAGAGAGGGAGGGAGGGCAAGAGAGAGAATCCCAAGCAGACTCCACACTCAGCGTAGAGCCTGACATGGGGCTTGGCCCCACAAACTGTGAGGCCATGACCTGCGCTGAAATCAAGAGCTGGATGCTTAACCGGCTGAGCCACCCAGGCGCCCCACGGCTGTGTATCCTTCGGGGCAGCAGAGGTCCTTCTGGGTCTCAGTCACCGGCTCTCCCGCTTAGAGGACACAAGGCAGCACGAATGCTCTGAGCACCTTTTCAACCCTTCTGAACCAGGCACTGGACCTGCCGTAAACGCCCCCCACTTCCGGCAGCCCAACAAGACGGGTGTAAACGAAGACCCTATTTTTTTTTTTTTTTTTTTTCCCAATAAGAAAACAGGCCCAGAGATGTCCAGTAATTTGCCCGAGGTCACAAGGCTAGCAAGAGGTACTGACTTCAAAGCCGGGCAGAGTCCAGAACGTGCACCCTGGCTGCTCCGATGGGCCCACCGCTTAACAACCCCTCCCCGCAAAGCCCGGCACCCAGGGGCGGACTCCGGCTTTGCCACCGGGAAGGTTAGATCAGCCAAGTGTTTCGACGCCCTTGGCACAACTCAGGTCTCTTCATCCTCGAAAGAGGCTCTCCTGAGCGACAGCTAAGAATCTACTTCCGTGCCGCACTCGCATAGGACTTAAATACTGAGGCTTCTCCCAGGGGGGAAAGGCCCCCAACCGAGTCGTGACTCCCTCGCTGTCCTTGGGCCCCAGAACTCTCAGCAAACAAGAGGGGAACCCAGCAGAACCCTCAGAATCCCATCTACGGGGCTCCAGGGGCTTGCAAGGAACACTTCAGCCCAGCTCTGTAGTTTGTAACCCGTACTCGGGTTCAGGCGGCCGGTGAGAAGTGAGATCAAACCCCCGGAATCCTGTGGGCGCATTTTCCTGAAAGGACAGGCTTCAATCACAGTTTTCCAGGGGCCTGGGACCGGTAAGGAGTATCTGGCCCTCGCTAGATCCGCAGTGCCTTGTTCCTGCTCCATCAGTCACTGCAGGCCTGCAACAAGGTAGACAACCTTCTCTACCACCGGCTTTGGGGACACTTAGGGCCCACGCCCAAGCCGAGCAGCATTGGTAAGGCCCTTCCACACAGACCCGGCAATAACCATTACTTCACGAATAACCATGAGCTGGTAACAAGCCACAGGCAGATGATACTTACGGAATTATTCTCAATTCGGTAAGGTGGGGTAAGGGTATCGTGATCGCGTTCTTTTCAAGTCCTTAGTCTCTGGGATGGGGGAAGAGCTGGGGGATAAATGAAAGAAGAATGGAGAGAGTATTACCATCTTTGAAGCTGGAGCTGACCACTTAGGGGTTCCTTAGAGCATCTTACTTTTGATGTTTTTTTTTAATTCCATAATGAAAAGTTTTTAAAATAAAACTAAATCAAAGCCACTGTTCTTGACAAGATGTAGATGCCTGAGCCAAGCGAAAGTGGTACTTCTCCCAGAAAGGGAAGCCTACCGACTCCCCCGCAGGAGCATGGAGGGGAGCACTCGTGCCTACCCTCCAGCCTGTCCGGTCCCTGGGGCGGGGGGGGGCTCAAGCAATTGGCGCTAAACGAAGCCCGGGAAAGGAAACCAAGTGAGACGTGGGTCCCGAAGGGTTCGCGAGGCTGGCATTCTCCCACCTGGCGTCTTTGGGCACCTCACCTTCCAGGTTTCAGTTTTGCGCTCCACAAAATGGTGGGACGTCCGGCGGGCAGGTGCGTGGACGGAAAGGAGGTCCGTGGGCGCGCCCCCAGAGTTGTACAGGGGAGGCAGAGTCTGGCATTTTCCGGAGATGGCTCGGGGCCGCGGGGGTGGATGGAGGAGATCAGGAGTGGAAAGAAGGAACACACGCGCGCGCACGCACACACACACACACACACA